TACTTCTAGTACACCTTCCACTACCCACTAGTACACCAAACTCGGAAGACTTTGAAAGAGAAATTGATAATATGCCTATGCACTCAGCTCCTGGGCCTGACTCATGGAATTCAATATTCATAAAGAAATGTAAAGTACCAGTAGCGAGAGCACTCAGCGTAATATGGAGAAAGAGCCTGGATACAGGGGAGATACCAGCAGCACTTAAATCTGCAGATATAGCTCCGTTGCACAAGGGGGGGAGTAAAGCCTTGGCAAAAAATTATAGGCCAGTTGCACTAACATCACACATAATAAAAGTGTTTGAAAGAGTGATTAGGAATCAAATTTCTAGTTTTATGGAAAACAATGAATTGCACAATCCAGGACAACATGGATTTAGAGCGGGAAGATCCTGTCTGTCACAGTTACTCAACCACTATGACAAAATCACAGAAGCCCTAGAAGAAAAGCAAAATGCAGATGTTGTATACACAGACTTTGCAAAGGCGTTCGACAAATGTGACCATGGGGTGATAGCTCACAAAATGAGGTCAATGGGAATAACTGGAAAAGTAGGACGCTGGATACTCAATTTCCTGTCGAACAGAACACAAAGAGTAACAGTCAATCAGATAAAATCGAGTCCAAGCGATGTTAAAAGCTCTGTACCTCAAGGTACAGTCCTTGCACCGCTACTGTTCCTTATTCTCATATCTGATATAGACAAAAATACACGCCACAGCTTCGTGTCGTCCTTTGCAGATGACACAAAAATCAGCATGAAAATTACCTCTGCTGAAGACATTGAAAAACTACAAGCAGATGTCAACAAAGTTTTTGATTGGGCAGCAGAAAATAACATGATGTTTAACAGTGATAAATTTCAGGTACTCAGGTACGGCAAAAATGAGGATCTGAAACATAATACAGGGTACAAAACACAATCGAATCTTCCCATAGTAGGAAAACAGCATGTCAAGGATTTGGGAATAATGATGTCCGACGATCTAACGTTTAGGGAGCATAACCAAGCAAATATCGCGTCAGCCAGAAAAATGATCGGATGGATTACGAGAACTTTCAAATCCAGGGATCCCATCACAATGGTTGTACTCTTCAAGTCACTTGTGCTGTCCCGTCTCGAGTACTGCTCAGTACTCACTTCCCCCTTCAGAGCAGGAGAGATTGCTGAAATAGAGGGAATACAGAGAACATATACGGCACGCATAGACGAGATAAAACACCTAAATTATTGGGATCGTCTCAAAGCTCTCCAAATGTACTCTCTAGAAAGGAGACGAGAGAGATACCAAATAATATACACCTGGAAAATACTGGAGGGTCAGGTCCCAAATCTACACAGTAAAATAACAACGTACTGGAGTGAACGATATGGAAGAAAATGCAAGATTGAACCTGTGAAGAGCAGAGGTGTCATAGGCACAATCAGAGAGCACTGTATAAACATCAGGGGTCCGCGGTTGTTCAACGTCCTCCCAGCGAGCATAAGAAATATTGCCGGAACAACCGTGGACATCTTCAAGAGAAAACTGGACGGTTTTCTAAGAGAAGTTCCGGATCAGCCGGGCTGTGGTGGGTACGTGGCCCTGCGGGCCGCTCCAAGCAACAGCCTGGTGGACCAAACTCTCACAAGTCGAGCCTGGCCTCGGGCCGGGCTTGGGGAGTAGAAGAACTCCCAGAACCCCATCAACCAGGTATCAACCAGGTACCACCCACCACCCACTACCACACCACCCACTACCCACTAGTACACCACCCACTACCCACTAGTACACCACCCACTACCACACCACCCACTACCCACTAGTACACCACCCACTACCCACTAGTCTAACACCCACCAATCTCCCTGTTTCTTCCGTGCCAGAGTAATCGAATCAAACGTACACTTAAAAACACACTGTAGCAACTCTCTAATACAATGATAAGCCGGACAACCAGCCAATTCTCTCTATGATTCCGTAAAAAGAAAACAGTTCTACGTACCCAGACGTCTACACACCCAAGCAGCCCACCTAACCTATCGAGGCTGATGCATGATAAACGTCAGTATTACATGCTGTACCTTTTAACCAACACGGGATATATTTAACGGATTGGTCGCTTTGTTTGATGCCTTAAAAGAAATGAAACTTATTAGGTAAGAGAATAGACCTTCATACAAGACATACTAAACCAATTACACAGAAATCACAATAGCGTGATGCATCAATGAACAAATCCACAACGGCCGTGACGGGGATTCGAACCTACCTACGTCCGAGATCTTCCCAGACGCTACCTTAATCGTCCAGAAGTCCAGTAAGAACTTCTGGTTTCAACTCTTTTTGACCGTGTCGTAGCTCAGTCGATTAAGGCAGCGCCTGGGAAGATCTCGGAAGTAGGTTCGAATCCTCATCACGGCCCTTGTGGATTTGTTTATACTAAACCAATGATGGTAGCCTACTTTAAGACACCAGTGCTCTCTCAAGTGGAACATGGTTCCAATGCCTCGGTCAAGGCTTCCTGCCTACCCTGAGGCGATTCCGGAGATTAAAACCCATCTTTAGCAATCATGTAGTACCCAGACCCCGGGTCATCAGCACCCATAATGGAAAAACTTCCACCCACGTCTGGTTAACACCTTTTGCGTCCTCTCTAATCCTTTATTTTTGCGCTATTGCTCACACAATGAGGATTCTTGAGGTTATCTTGAGATGATTTCGGGGCTTTAGTGTCCCCGCGGCCCGGTCCTCGACCAGGCCTCCACCCCCAGGAAGCAGCCCGTGACAGCTGACTAACACCCAGGTACCTATTTTACTGCTAGGTAACAGGGGCATAGGGTGAAAGAAACTGCCCATTATTTCTCGCCGGCGCCTGGGAACGAACCCAGGACCACAGGATCACAAGTCCCGTGTGCTGTCCGCTCGGCCGACCGGCTCCCTAAGGATGGGTGCACAGCACGTCAGCCGCCTCCGGCTCCCACAACCCACTATCAGGGGCCAGATTCACGAAAGCACTTACGAACCTGTACATCTTTTCTCAATCTTTGGCGGCTTTGTTTCCAATTATCAAACAGTTAATAAGCTTCGAAGTACCAGGAGGCTGTTTATAACAATAACAACAGTTGAATGGCAAGTTTTCATGCTCGTAAACTGTTTAATAAATGTAACCAAAGCCATCAAAGATTGAGGAAAGATGTACACGTTCGTAAGTGCTTGAGCAAGTGCTTTTGTGAATCTGGCCCCTGATGTCTAGCCGATGCTGAAGTTTGCCGTCATGCTCACGAAATGCTAGGTAGCCCCCACACCGCTATTCCTACACACTTTATATGCCGTTTACCTTCTATGAGATCCTATTGCGTCTTGTATCCTTTAAGCCAATCCAGTTTTAGTTTATTGGTTCATTTATTCTTTATACATGAAGAATCTATCAATGTCGAAAGTTATTTTATTCTTTGGTGACCATTAGATTGAAATTCGGTCTTCTAAAAAGGTATTCTTTATGTCGAATTCATCAAATACCACCTACCAGCCTACCTACCTTGTGCAGCTTCTGGGAATCGACAGCCCAGCGGCCCGGTCTCCGATTAGGCTGTCTGGTCGGACACGGCCTGGTCAACCAGGCTTTTGGACGCGGTTGCTCACAGCCTGATGTATGAATCACAGCCTGGTTGATCAGATATTCTTTGGAGGTACTTGTCGAGTTCTCTCTTGAACACTGAGAGGCCGGCCAGTTAAGCCCCTTTGTGTAGCGGGAGTGTTGAAAAGTCTTGGACACTATGTTGCCACTTCTCCCTCAGAGTAACTGTTGTACCTCTGCTTTCCAACTTCTTGGAAAGTTACTATTTCGCACATCCTGTCATGCCTCCTGGTCTCACGTGGTGTTATCTCTGTGCTCACATTTGGAACCAGTCCCTCTAATATCTTCCACGTTTAGATTATTATGCATCTCTCTCTCTCGCCTGCGCTCTCCAGTCTCGAGTATACAGATTTAGAACTTTTAATCGGTCCCAATAATTAAGATGACTTGCAATCGCAAAGTCCATGTGTACATCTGCATTATATATCATGCACGTGTGGTTGAGTAACTGTGAAAGGCAGCTTCTACCGCTCACAATCCATGTCCAGCTAATTATTACCACCGCTAAAAATGTTTAAATCTTTATTCTCTAAAGAACAGGAGATAAATAATTATTTACACTGAAAATACTAATGAGATTGTGGTTCAGTAGTTAGTTAAGGCAGAATTTTCCCCGAATACAAAACTTGCTAAACGTCTCCAAAGGATATCTGATCAACCGGGCTGTGATTCATACGTTAGACAGTGCGCAGCTGCGTATAACAGCACGTATAACGTATTGCTGCGTATTAAGCACGTATAACAGCCAGGTTGACCAGGCTGTTAGACGTGCTTAACCTACAACCAACAAGGAGATCTGTCAGAGACAGGGCAGCAGGGACATTGATAAGTGGCTATCTCGGTGGTGATCCCGGGGTGAGGCAAGTGTTTATGTAGCAAGTTACTTTTGTCAGAACTAAGTCTATCGTTCATGTTATGTCCGGATCTTTAACATGTCAACATGCTTAACCCCTTTGTACATTTTCAAGATTTCACTAATTTTTTTCCTCATCCTTTGTGAATGAACCTTCTCCTGCAAGAGGTGGTCCAATGGTGGTGAAGTTTCTTTATTTGGTTTATGGAAAAAGTCGAAATGTTCCCATCTTGTGTTGGTTCTGAGGACCAACGTCCCCGCGGACGATTCAGCGGGCTGTGATTCAGACTGTGTACAGCAGCATCCAACAGCCTGTGGGACGTTAATCTTCGGGACCAACTATGTGAACAAGATTGGGCTGGAACCCTTTACCCTCTCTCGGCTCTTCCCTTCAACCTACCCATGTAGAGTTGAGGTAGAGTTGATAGCTGTGTCCACAGATCAACCACCACCGTATCATGCAAGGTTGGTGGCCCTGTTGGTAGCTCTCAGCTCTCCCTCCTCCCTATAGCCCTGTACTCACCTCCACAGATGAACCTCTCAACACGCCAGGCCTCCAGTCAGCGCGTGATCTCCTTGATCTGTGGAGCACAAGAAGCTCAGTTAATGGGGGGTGTATAATGGGGTGGTGGGTGGGAGAAGCAGTCATGCTAAACACAAGGGGCACGGTAAACAGTATGGTGCAGTATGGAGTCCTTTGCGGAATTATGGGGTACTCTCCGCAGTGAATTATTGGGCAAAGAGTCCAAAGGGTCAATTCCATAGCCGATCACATCTCTCAACCCGACCATTTCAGATTTACATGAAATTTTGTGTAAACATGTTAGTATGTTCATGCATACATATGCAACAATTTTAGCCCTCAGTGATGCACTATATTTATACATCAGTGTTGGCAATGTGAAAAAAATAATCCAACACTTGTGTTGAATTTCGACAGTTTGAGAGCTGCGTCGAACACTGGTTAACCGGACGACCTAGCAAGAGGCCTGGTCAGAGAGCGGGCCGTGAGATGGATGATCCTGGGAATGGTGGCAAGGTAAGACACCAGAGACAACACCCCGTGGCCGGCCCATCATATCTCCTCCATCACTAACCAGGTTAAGAGGTTATCTTGAGATAATTTCGGGGCTTTAGTGTCCCCGCGGCCCGATCCTCGACCAGGCCTCCACCCCCAGGAAGCAGCCCCTGACAGCTGACTAACACCCAGGTACCTATTTTACTGCTAGGTAACAGGGGCATAGGGTGAAAGAAACTCTGCCCATTGTTTCTCGCCGGCGCCTGAGATCGAACCCAGGACCACAGGATCACAAGTCCAGCGTGCTGTCCGCTCGACCGACCGGCATTCCCAGACCTTTCTCCTCATAATTACCTTTCAATACAATAAGTTTGAAAATATTTAATTTCCTGTTCCATTCTTTCACGCTATGGAACAAGTCTTTTACAAGTGCAAAAAAACTGAAATGCTGCTGTTGCTTGGAGACAAATCAGGTGGCGGATGTCAACCCTGGGACGGAAATCTGTGGAAAAAGCATTATCTTTAACACCGATAATGGGGGTTACCAGAACACGTGCCAGAGATGGATAGGCACACACACAGGATAGGGAAATGGGACAGGAGTCATTGCTGTAAACAACCGATAGCTGGAAAGGCGGGATCCAAGAGTCAATGCTCGTTCCTGCGGACACAAATAGGCGAGTACATAGTTCCTCGCGGCCGAGCTGACAGCGCTCGGGAGTCCTAGTCCAAAGGGTCCAGGTTAGATTCTCGGTCGAGGCGGAAACAAATGGGCAGTTTCTTTCACCTAATGCCCCTATTCACCTAGCAGTAACTAAATCCCTAGGAGTTAGCTGCTACGAGCTGCATCCTGGAGACGGATATCTGGGCACGTGGCGAGAGATAAAACAGTTTAAATAGAAGATATGCTAGGAGGAAAACTGGGCGACTCAGTACATCACACAACTGACAAATGTGCGGGTCCAAGAGGTGACACCTCCATATTGCTCCCACACACACACACACACACACACACACACACACACACACACACACACACACACACACACACACACACACACACACACACACACACACACAGGCGGGACCCAAGAGTCAATGCTCGATCCTGCGGACACAAATAGGTAAGTACACACACATATACATCTTGAGGTTAGCTCGAGATGATTTCGGGGCTTAGCGTCCCCACGGCCCGGTCCTCGACCAGGCCTCCTTTTTGTTACACACCCCCAGGAAGCAGCCCGTAGCAGCTGTAACTCCCAGGTACCCATTTACTGCTAGGTGAACGGGGGTGAAGTTAACTCTGCACATTTGTATCCCCCTCCGCCGGGGATCAAACCCCTAACCTTAGGACTACGAATCCAGAGCCCCGTCCACTCAGCCGTCAGGCACCCTTACACACAAAAGGTACACGCAAAAACTGGAAAGGGAGGGAGGGAGGGAGGGAGGGAGGAAGAAGAGTGTAAGATAGACATACAAGAGGGAAGGGAGAAGAGAATGGGGAGGGGGAGCAAGATAACGGGAAGGGGGGAAAGAGAAAGAGAGGAGAGAAAAGGTGCAAATAGTTGAAGAGGACAACAAACTTGCACAAAAACAAGTGAGGGAAGCAAATGAGGAATTAACAGAAGGTGTGCAGAGACCAAGCAACACTAGAGTGCACACACACATACACAGCCCCGCTCCTGTGCCAGGTAAGTCCACTACGGGCTCACCATAGCCCGTGCCACTTGCCCCGCTCCTGTGCCAGGTAAGTCCACTACGGGCTCACCATAGCCCTACTTGCAACTTGTGTTCTGAGTAGCTGAATCTATAACAACAACAACAACTAGAGTGCAGTACCTGATGACTACAAGGACGACGGTGACAATGACCTCCAGGGGTTTACCTGCTTGCTTGATACCTGCTTGATGGGGGTCTGGGAGTTGTTCTACTCCCCAGAGGGAGATTAAAGGTAAGTAAGTAAGTAATTATCAAAAGAAGGCACCAAACCGGGAAGGCTATGTAAGATTAAAGGTAGCCCCTGTGGGCTACACACACACACAACCATCATCATCACACACACACACACAACCATCATCATCACACACACAACCACCATCACACACACAAGTGAATATTGAAGGGTGCGGAGATGGCAGGGAGAAGAAAAAAGGGATAAGAAACGAGGGGGTCAATAACACTGCGATAAACGGCACCTGGGAGATAATACGATAATGACCATCTGTGAGAAGGAAGAGGTTCACAGAGCGAGGTGAATTATCCCTTAATGGCGGACGTCAGGAGTGGCAGGTGGTGGGAGGGAAGGAAATGGGAAGGAAGAAGGGGCTAGAAAGCTGGGAGGGGGAAGAAGGGTATGGAAGGTGGGAGAATGTTAGGCAAGAAAAGTGGGAAGGAAAGTGGAAGGCATCAGGGGAAAAGATGAAAGGGAGGTAGATAGCCTACCTCTCTGTTACCTACCAGCCTAAATCAAGGCAAGGTAGCCTTCCCTTCATCTCAGCAGACCGTCCTCCCCGCCACGACTCTACACCAGTTGATAGACAGGCGTCCCCCATGCCAACCTGTCCTCTTACAAAGAACGTCGCTTTTCGCTCGTAGGCGTTACCTAAGGCCAAAAATTGTCGTACTAGAAAATGGAAGCGGCTGGCGAAAGTGACGTACTGTCCCGTTTTCTGTTTTGGGTCCTCTGGTAGGTTAGGATAAGGGGGGCACTTTAAATTTATATTTTCTTGACGTTGGGAAACCTTAAAGGACGGGCTGCTCATGCAGTATTTATTGATCTATAATCCGCTTTTATCACAGCTAACACAGAACTGCTCTCAGAACAACTAGCCTACTTTCTAATGTAACGGTTCTATTGTTACGTAAAGTATGGTGACAAATAAACACAGACACTAAGATACTATATATATATTTGGTCGAATATACAGAAGTACACAGGTGATACGTTGGTGTGAGTTGAGCGCACTGAGCGTCGGTACAGTATCTCGCAAGTGTCTGCTCTAGACCACACTTGAAAGTAGACTCTCGTAAGTAGAATAAGGGAAGACTCTTGACATGGCTCAAGTGATACCACAGTAACAGTAAAAAGTTGTTTTGACATATCCATACATTAAAACATTGATTGTAACCATGATGCTTCCGCCTACAGTTTAGACCTATTGTCTTATGTATGACCCTCTGTCCTGCGTGACAGTGAATACCAACATTATCCTCACTTTAATAAGACTACCAAAATCCTCAGATTAGGCAAAATTGTAGTTAATTTTGTCAATAAAGATGTTAATAATAAATAAAAGTCCTTTTCATGCATAAATTAATAAGCAATACGTCCAAATGTAAAGTTCTACTCTATTCTCGTGATACCAAAACCGTTGAACGCGCTCTCATTAGGATCTATATGCAAAAAAGTCCACAAACCTTCTACCCACACAATTGAACAAATGATCAAGCTTTCAAAGCCAACAATCAAAACACTAATATCAATGACAAATATTTCAGGCAATTTTACAAAATATAAGTTGGATATGAAGTTAATTACCAAGTCTTGCATTTAATTATGTTTATCACTAATCCTTCGAACTAAACAAAACACAAAAGCCATAAGGTTGACGTATAAATACGCCCATACGAACAGCAACGAAATAAACTGCATATAAACTATAAACTAAATAAATAAACTAAGTAAGTTATAAACTAAACAATAAATAAATTATAAAGAAAACAGAAACGATCAGACGAACAAACCGAGATAATGAATACGAACTATGAGATTAAAGTGCAGCAATAGCAACAGTGAGGCGTGTTCAACGTCTGGTTGACCAGACCACCAACCGGGAAGCCTGGTTGGAGACCGGGCCGCGGGGCTCTTGATCCCCCGGACGCTACACACGGTAGACACAGTAGACAGGCCAGACAGATAAACAATATAAGAAAGAAACTGAAAACAGGTTGAAGGATTACGGTGAAGAGGCGCCCAAGAGGTCTTGTCGAGTGGGGGGGGCGTGAGAGGGGGGGCGTGAGAGGGGGGGGCGTGAGAGGGGGAGGCGTGAGAGGGGGAGGCGTGAGAGGGGGGGCGTGAGAGGGGGGGGCGTGAGAGGGGGGGGCGTGAGAGGGGGGGCGTGAGAGAGGGGGGGGGGGGGCGTGAGAGAGGGGGGGGGGGCGTGAGAGAGGGGGGGGCGTGAGAGGGGGGCGTTAGAGAGAGAGGGGGGAGCGTGAGAGAGAGGTGGGGGGCGTAAGAGTTAGCAATATGAAAGATAAAAGGTTTAGGTGGTTAAGAGTTCACCAGATGAAATATTTCAATGTCAAAAGTTCTGCCAGATAAAAAGTTTAATTATATTTTGAGTCGAGCGCCGAGGGTGGTCGTTTCAATGGCCTTAATTTAAGGCTTTCGTCAAGATAACATTGAACACTTAAGGAAAAAGAATTTAAAAGTTTATAGAAATGAAAGATCTGGGTGGGTGTGTAGTTTTTTATAGTATATGGTTAGGAAAGAGAAGGTTTATGGCTCGCAGGTTATAAGGATGGAGGCTTTAAAGGTACAAAAGTTTTAAAATATATGCCTTA